AAAAAATATATATATATATATATACATGAGTAACGTGAGAACGTCTATTTTTTTGCATAAAGAAAATTAAGCATGTTTTTAGGACCATTAAGATTTTTTTTTCATTCATACATAATTTTAATGTCAATTAAGCAAACCTTCTCCACAAATTCAAATTTTTTAATATGTTAAAATATCATTTATTTTTAAAATTAAATTCAGTACAACAAATCTTAAAGAAACGGGAAATAGTAATGAAATTTATATATTTTTTTAAATTACTATTTTATATGTTACTATTTGTCGTGCTAAATTCTATAAACCAATAAACACACACACACACACATTTTTTTCTTTTATTTAGACATTTTTTTTTTTAATTTAAAATGTTAAAATAGTCTTTGTAAACACACACATTCACACATTTTGCTTCTTTTATTTGAAATGTTAAATAGTCTTTGTTGTACTAAATTTAATAAATGAAAATGTATATAAATAAATGTAGTAATTTTAAATTCTGGTATATATATATATATATATATATATATATGTATATATAATTTCTTTGTATTAGAACAAATATTAGGACAATAAAAATAATGTCGCACACAATGCAAAAATCTTAATGGCTCTAAAAATAGGCTTAATATTGTTTACGCAAAATATAATTTCTTATTTTTGTCTTTGCATTTGAAGGGTGTAATGTGACCCAGACCAGTTTTAGGCAAGTTTCATGAGATTCTTCCAAAAATGCATGCTTGATCTCTTCGGCCCATAGAGACTGTTCATGTTGATAATTTCCAGGCATTTGAAAAGAACGGTCCAAGTAGACTTGTTTTCAAGTCGTGGTGTCTTGTAACCTACTTTCACAACCTTTTGTCTGGCTCTAAATCTCCCTGCGCTCTTGAGATGGTGTTGTCCTTAATGAGGCCGACCTCATCCGTTGTTTCTTAACAGTATCATGCTCACTGCTTACATCCAATAGGATTTCACTGATTGGTGCCATCCCGGGAAAGCCCCAGTCATCTGGTGGTCCAGTGCCACAGAATGAGCTTAATGACCTGATGGTGTTTTCTTGAATTGTTTACCAGCATGAGATAGAATATAAACAACCTGGTTTAACACAATACATTTTACACTTTGAACGCCACTCTTCTGTTGTTCTGTGATAACCTTTGTTAATATTGCGATATTCTGGCAAATGTAAATAGACAGTAATGTAATCATCACAATATGAGATAATACAGTTTACACGACTTTGAACACCACCTTGATGTTGTTTGCGATAACGATTAATAATATGCCTAATAACACAATTATGAAATCATCACAATATGAGGTAATTTTATGGAATGTCTATATTGTATGTAAATATAGAGTAATAATATAAAAGCCTTGGATGACTTCTGGACCCAATCAAGGCCCAAAGTCGCCTACGTCCTAAAATAAAGAGTATCATCTCTCCACACGGACATTGAGGTCATAGATTAGCTGTGTCATGAGCTGAATAAAGAGCCTCCAGCTGCTGTGCTTTAGGGTTTGACTGTAATCCAATTTAATGCTAGCAGTCACGAGGACAGGATGAATGAATCCAACTGCAGAGCTACCCACTGTCTCAACTTTGGGAGGAAATCCAGACCTGGACTGCAAATTCTGATCCTCCCTAGAGAGCCACGGGTCTATTTCCATTTATAACTTTTCACTTGATAACAAGTCAGTCCATTACATATCTACGGAAAAGATACTTGTCAGCAAGCTGCATCTTTTAAGATTTATTCAAATGTTGGATGACAGGCAATTTAGAATCCAAAGCTTTACAGTCATGTGATTTTTTTTTGTTTTTTTTTTGAATGTCGTAGCCTACAGTATAGTCTAAATCAGAAAGTATAGTTAAATCAGAAATAGCCTTTGAATTAATATTAATAAAAATTCCCTTAAAATGTCGTTTTAAAGGCCTGACTTTACAGATCAAATAATAAAAATTATTATTGAATAATTAAAGCCTTTAAAATCCCTATTTGAAGGGTATATTATTATTAATTTTAAGGAATATATCATAATTAGAAATGTTATTTGTATATTTTTGATAAAGCATTTACATCAATTATTCAGTAAAACATGTATTATTTCATCTGTGAAGTAAGGCCTTTAAATTCACATTTATAATAGTCCCTTAAATTGTGATTTTAGAGGAATATATTAATATATTATATATTAATGGAATGTATTAAATGATATAGGACACATTTGTGTATTTCAAATAAAGAATTTTCATTAATTATTATTCAGTGAGAATTTAATCTGTAAAGTAAGGCCTTTACAATCAGATTTTTAAGGGATTATTCATATTAATTTAAAGGGATATATTAAAATCAGAAAAGTGATTTGTATATTTTTTGATAAAGCATTTACATGAATTATTCAGTAAGATTTTTTTATTATGTGATCTCTATAGTCTACTATAAATCTTACTTTTGAGGTGGGAATGTTTAAGCAGATTAATATTCGGTAATAAGTATGTCCAATTTAGTAGGACATGGTCCTGAATCAACATCCTCATGCTTATCAATTTTTATTGCCTGCGGATTCTGGTGGCTTTTGGGTAAGTGCCAACCTTGTGGCCTGGAATGACATTCATACAGTATTAGCCAATAGCTGCCCTCTAATTGTAGGGGTAGGTTAGAAACTAGACCTGTCCTCCTTGAGGAAACCACACTTATTTTTATTTCTAATTTCAGGTTTGTGACTGGCTTTACCCCTTGATGGCATCTGATTCCCCAGTCCTGCTGTGCAACACGGGGGTGTACATGTTCCCTGACATGATGGCTCCCACCCCAGGCTCGTATGTTGGGGTGGTCCTTTCTTCTGAGCTTCCCCAGAAGGAACGTGAACTCTTCCAGAGCGTTCTTTCTCAGCTGACTGACCTGCGTGTCCAGGTGAGCTGTCCCTGTGTCCCCTCACGTCCCACCTCAGAAACACAGGGGTCAGCTGTGACTTCAGAGCAGGTGTGGTGGTCCAACCTCGTCTCAAACTTTGTGTGTCACTGACTCGATCCCTGCAGCTTTGAATATTAATTCCAGTATCTCACTTGTTGCTGCCCCTATTTGGTGTTTTTTTGAGTTTTTCTTTTTTCTTTATCACAACAGACTAGAATCAAGAATTTAACACTGTGGTAAAACCTTTATGTACTTTAGATGCATGATATTCACTGTTTGGAATGGCCTTTAAATCAGATTTTTGCATGTTGCTCATGCTTTGGGCACATATCATATACACACTGCATCTGCCTGTCTCATTAACCCTTTTTCTTTACAGATTTTTGGTGTATTTGAGAGTTTAAAAGATTTATTTAAGGTATTAATGCATTGTAATATCACCGAATGACAAGTGCATTTGGGTTGTGTATATTTATGCTCTAAAAAAGGAATGCCAACACAACAACTTTTTTTATATAGAAGAAACTCTAATGTCCTTGAAACCAATGGAAACTTAGACATTTCCAAATGGCATTAGAGTGCTAGACGTTTTACACCTAATGCAGCCTTAAAATGTGCCCTTATATGAGAGAAAGACTCCATGCACATTAATGTCAGTAGTACTCTCTGCCAATAATCAAAAATGGTGAAAAAATAAAACATTAGATAAATAAATAAAATATAAAAATTATATATTTAAGTAAAAACTTTATTAAAATACGTATTTTTATAAATTAATCATTTTTTTCTATAATAATAGTAATTATTATTAATATTGATATTATTTGTACTTTTATTTAATTTATTGTTTTTAATAATAATAATAAAAAAATAATAATGATTTGTCCCATTATAACGTAATTATGTAATTACCATACCATGTAAAAAAAAAAAGCACACTTATTTCACCTTCAAGTGTTTTCATGTGCTAGATGTAACTACGGTATCTTTTATCATTTAATGCACTTGACACTGGTCCTTACAATGCTTCCATGCTTTCTGCTGCTTGCACTGCCTCTAACGCTGATATTCATAAGCGTTTCACACATTTGGCTTTGGGTATAATGTTTATTACTCATGGAAAAGTTAGCTAGCTTGGCCTGTGCTTTTGAGCTGGCACACTCCCCTGCGCTTCCATGGATTGAGAGCATACTGGAGAAGGAGAATTAATTAGCTGTAATGCTCTTAGCAAACCAAGAACATCGTTGTTTCCCTTCTCACCTCAGGATAGTGGGGAATGAGAGCACTTTCTTTTCTTTTTTTTATTCAGTTGCATTATAATAAGTCATTATCCTGTTCTAGTGGTTATGTGAGTCAGAAAAACATTGTTCATGCTTTTAGAAATCATTTCACAGAGCAGCTGCTGCTGAGTTTGGAACCAAGTGTCGCAGTTCCCTGTAAAGGAGGGGGCGACGACAAACACATCCATTGTTGTGGAAATAACAGGTTGTTGTAGCAGACCATGCTGACTCACTGGCTCAAGTGTTTAGAGACAACAAAGGATTTTTTTTTTTGGGGCAAACGGGGAAAAATCTGAAAGCATCCCCTCCTTGTGTCATAAACAATACTGGCTAATGTCCATTTAGTCATCCTACAAGTCACCATTTGCTTTTAGTAATTGCTTGAGCCTACTTCTGCACTCTTTATGATGCTCTGTTTTAACTGTTGCCCGCTATCCTGTGTCCCCAAGGCATCAGATGGCGCAACCGATACCATTAACCTGGGTCAGAAGGTGCCGATGGGGCCTCCTGCAGCTGAAGCAGCACCCCCTGCTGCTGAGGAGGAGAAGGTACTTCCTGAATGGAGCGAGAAGGTGGCTCAGGGGGTTCTGACTGGTAAGAAGAGGGATCTGATTCCCTTAAATGAGGCTTAAATTTAAAGAAAGGTGTGCATCATATTCATAATACTATTCAAAAATATGGGGTGGGTAAGATTTTTATGTTATTGAAAGAAGTCTCGTATGCTCACCAAGGCTGCATGTATTTGATCAAAAATACAGTAAAAATAGTAGTATTTTGAAATATAATTACAATTGAAAATAACTGATTTTATTTTATTATATAAAATGTAATTTATTCCTGTGATGGCAAAGCTGAATTTTCAGCATCCATTAGTCCAGTCTTCAGTGTGTCATGAAATCTTTTGTAATAAAACTTTTGATCAATTTAGTGCATCCTTGCTGAATAAAAGTATTATTATTTTTTTCACTTTTGATCAATTTAATACATCCTTGCTGAATAAAAGTATTATAATTTTTTTCACTTTTGATCAATTTAATGCATCCTTGCTGAATAAAAGTTGTTTTTTTTTTAATCCTACTGACAAAGTTTTAATTAAACAGTAATTTTGGATGTCTTAAGTAAGAAATTAAATGTAAAAGTTTATCATAACTTCTCACTACACCATATAGAAACTTGTAAAGTTATCCTGGCCTTTTTGCATAGCAATCATTTCAGAAGTGAGGGGGACAGAAATGTCAAATGTAGTAGTAATAATAATAATAATATTTATTTATGCATGTTTGTCTGATTGACAAAAAAAAAAACTTTTCTTATGTCTTACTTTTAATTGGCTAAGAAATAAAATACACTGCTGGACAATAACCAATAATTTGTATTCTTTAATATTTTTGATTATATATTTTCCTAATGACAATTTTATAATTATGATTGGTTTATATACTAAAAACACTTTTTCCATTTTTAAAAATATATTTTATAGCTTCTGTACTGTAATAAATGCTATGTCAGTTAGCACTGTATCATTCATATACTTTATTACCTGGATTAGACTTGACTTGAAAAACACACATAAACCATATATTGTTGCAATCGTTTATCGTCTTCAAGTTTCATCAGCTATGGTTTATGCTTGTTATTCAGTTAAGATACAGCGATAACTGGATGCCTTTGTATTAGGGATTTCCTGGCACGTCAAAATTTATTACTACTTCTATGAGTCCATTTTTGGCTTTGAGTATGAATGAAACATACACTGCATGAGAGTGTTGAGTGCTCCGTAATGTTCACATAGTTTTGGATACAAATAAAACGTATCCAAAACTATGTGACTATCTTGTCTCTCTTAATTTAAATCTAGGTTTATTCACACTGGCCCTTGAAAACGTCTACTTGAGCACACTTGCCCGAAAAAATTGCAGGGGAAGAGTTTAGGTTTTATTAAAAGTCGGGGGAACACTTCCCCCACGTATTCTATGCCCATGCTACAGGGAGCCACCGCGGAGGGATGAAAGAGCCGCAGGTCGCCAACCCCTGTACTAGAAGAACAGTTGTTGCCACCAAAACAGTGATGCTGTGATGCTCTCCTTATTGTATGAAATATATCAACAGGGGCTTCATGGCTGAGCTGGGGGTTGGTGAAGGGGGCTGAGTACACAGGCAAAGCCATACATAAAGGTGCAACCAAACTACGAGAGCACATCACTCCAGAAGACAAACCATCCCAAGTCAGCCCTACGGTAGCCAAAAGCCTCCATGTGACCAAACAAGCCACAGGAGGAGCAGTGAAGGTCAGCCAGTTTCTTGGTAAGGAAGTGTCTTTGTAAATTCCTAATTTTGTTGATAATGTTCAACAAAGATGAGACGCACTTTATTTATGTTCTGTTCTATTTCAGTGGATGGGCTATGCACAGTCGCTGGACATGTTGGCCGAGAGTTGGCACCCCATGTTAAGAAACACGGAGGGAAGATTATCCCAGAGTCCCTGAAGAAAGACAAGGATGGCCGCTCCAATATTGATGGTGCTATGGTGGTTGCAGCAAGTGGAGTTCAAGGTGAAGTGAATCATTTCACCCAGAAATTATTCTTTTCTTGGCTGTTTTAGTCACATTGATGTCAATTAAACAATTACATTATCTTATAGGCATTATTGATCAGATGATTAACGGGATTTATTAAGTTCTTTACACATAAAAAATTTACCATGGAGCAAAAAAAGCCATCATATTATAGGCTAAATTTATTACAAATACTAAATGGTGTCAAGAGCCAGTAAATTGTGCTATTATCCATTTAGTGATTGATAAAATACCATCAAAAAGTTTGGGGTCAGTACCATTTTTTTTTTATGCTTTTGAAAAAAGTCTCTATGCTCATCAAGGCTGTATTTATTTGATTAAAAATACAGTAAAACAGTAGTATTGTGAAATATAAAAAATACAGTAAAACAGTAATATTGTGAAATATTATTACAGTTTAAAATAATTGTCTGCTTTTTAAATTTATTTTACAATGTAATTTATTTCTGTGATGGCAAAGCAAATATTTAGCATCAGCCTTCCTTGTCTCACAAGCCTTCAGAAATCATTCTAATATGATTTTATGCTCAAAACATTTAATTAAGCCTTATTAATTAAGCCTCATATCAATATTGAAAACAGGTGTTGAAACGGTGATACATTTTTTTCATGATTCTTTGATGCATAGAAAGTTCAAAAGAACAGCATTTATTTGAAATAGGAATATTTTACTGTCACTTGATTTTGAAAAATAAATAATGCCACAATTTTTTTAACTGTAACGTTTGATGCTCTATTTTGTCAGGATTTGCAACGATGTGGATGGGGTTGGAGGTTGCAGCAAAGAACATTGCAAAGAGTGTTGCTGCAGAGACGGTTACCACAGTAAAACATAAGTAAGTAACTACACAAGGGTCTTATTCCACCTGCTTTAAAGTTCATCATACCAGTGTTTTAACTGCATTTGCAGTTTCTCACCAGTAACTTTGATGAGAAAAATAAACTGCACTCACGCTAGTTTCTTTCCCGTATATTTGTTTGCAGATTTAGGGGTCTGGAGAACATTTCAGACACCCCAAATGAAAACAAGTAGAAACATTTTCCCTGCACCCTGTAAAATGGCTGTAATTAGTCACGAGCATGGCTAAAGCTCATCTTGGTCTGAATCAGTCAGCGCTTGCACGCATTGCTAATGATTTATAGGACATAATGATTAAATCACTTCCGTTAGCATCTTGTGTTGCTGTGTGCAATGATCCACAGCTCAGTGATGGAATGAATATGTGTTCCTAACAGCCAAAAGTAATTAATCTCATTGTCTTTATTGCCTTATTTTTCTTAACTTTTGAACCTTTTAAGCCTGACTTTAATTATACTGTTGCATCAACAGAAGGTTTTTCCAGGTTATATCGGATGGCAAACATAATTATCATCATTGTAATATGACCAAGATACATAGTATTTATGCTACCGTTCAAAAGTTTGGGGTCAATAAGATTAAAAAAAAAAAAATCAGGAAGGAAGCATTAAATTGATCAAAAGTGAAAGTAAAGACCTTTATAAATATTTCTATTTGAAATAAATGCTGTTCTTTTGAACTTTCTATTCATCAAAGAATCCTGAAAAAATGTACCGTGGTTTCCACAAAAAAATATTAATCAGCACAACTGTTTTCAGCATTGATAATAAGTTATGTTTCTTACCAGCATATTAGAATAATTTCTGAAGGACCATAAGACTGGAGTGTAATGGCTGCTGAAAATCGGCTTTGCCATCACATGAATAAATTACATTTTACAATGTATTATAATAGAAAACAGCTATTTTAAATTGTAAACGTATTTCACAATATTACTGTATTTTTACTGTATTTTGAATCAAATGAATGCAGTTTAGGTGAATATAAGAGACCTCTTTCAAAAACATAAATAACTGACCTCAAACTTTTGAATGATAGTGTCAATTCTTTTGTATTGTACAATTCATTAAAATGAAGGTTTACAATTTAATGTTTAAATCCTTCCAATAATTATCCAATATTTAAAAGTGGAAAATAATGGTGATTTCCATTGATATAGCTCATAATATCATAATGTTTTTTAATTCTAAACATTTTTACAACCATTCTTCCCTTTCTAACTGTGCTTAATATTGGCCATTTTGAATTCAACTTTTGCACATCACAAAAATATTTTTTTCTATGGCATCTTTAGGATTAATTTTGCATTTTAAATCAAGTTCAGATTTTTCTCTGAAGAAATGACTGAATCGCTGCATGTATGTTTAACTGCTTTGCTCTGCTTCGAAAATTGTCCATGTCCTAAACCTTCCATTCCATTACCTCTTTCATCATCTGGGTTATCTATAATCAAGGTATGGGGCGGAAGCGGGCCAGGCCACAGATCACGCTGTCAACTCAGCCATCAATGTGGGCATCACCGCATTCAATATCGACAACCTGGGGATCAAGGCAATGGTCAAGAAGACTGGCAAAGAGACTGCCCATGCCATCCTGGCAGACTATAAAGTCCAAGAGCCGAGCAGTCAAGTTGAGAAACATAAAGACCAAAAGTAGAGTTTAGATTCAGACCTCTCGTTTCAGGTGTCCATTTTTAAGAGCAAACCAAATGACTGATGAAGTGGACTGATCCTGGTCCGGTTTTTCAATGAATGCTTTTGTTGTTATTTGTGTCTGACACAGTTAGTTGTGCCGTCATTGCTACTATTTTCACTGTGTCATGGGGGAATTGGTAAATGCACTTTAAAAATTCCCTTTACAAGCTGACTGACAGCCCTGCTGGACAGTATTCCTGATCTCGCCTTACACTTCACCAGCAAGTTACTCAACATATCTCCAATTTTACTCAAAATAAATCTTTAGTTTTGCATGGTTTGTGTCTTTCAAATGGACCCTTGAAACAAAGTACAAGCCAAAGGTGGACTTAACGGTTATCCCATAGAGCCTTAACAAATACTATCTTCTTGTATTTAAAAATACATATATAAAGCTTTAATTAAAATATATTCTAAGAATGCTTTATGATAGCTGTTTATATATATATATATATATATATATATATATATATACACACACACATACACATACATATACAGACCTGTTTGCGCTTGGTACTTCAGGATTTTTTTTTTATGTTTTAAAATATTAAAAAGCACTTTAACCCCTACTAGGAACAGACATGGAAATTTCTTACAGATGACGGGTATTAGGTTTTCTTGTGTATAAATGCAATAAAAATATAATTGCACTTGCATTTGGAGTATGATATAGAGGTCAGATATAAGAAATCTGTTTATTCAGAAGCCAGAAAAATCAAACTTTTTGGGAAATGTTTAAAATTATAGTATTTTAAAGTTTAACATATGTATTTAATATGAATAATATAATAATATTTTAAATGAATGAGGCTTATATTTAATATTAACTGCATTAAACTGTAAAATGCCATATATTAGAAGTCCTCCCATTGTAGATATTGACTCATAAAACATCTCTATGCTTTTTTCCCCTGTGAAAACTGTTGACAATGACTGCACGTTTTCTTTTAACTTGACCACTGACCGTGTTTCTATATATTATATATAAATATAAGCTTGAACTTCCGTAACATTTCATTGAAAGCATTAACAGTTGAATTAAGAGTTGTTAATTCTTTGTGTCTGTCTTGATGCATTATATATGTCTCATTTGAATGTATGGTCAACATAAATAATGTGTAAGCATCAAGTTTAACCACAAGTCAATAGGTTTGCTCAATGACAAATAATATAATAGCCTATGGTTATTTGACATAATAAATGAAACTTTTAAAACGTATTGTTTTGTGTGTACTCTAATTTAAACACAGTTTTATGGGTTAATATTTGTTCCATTCCATTGCTTTGAATTAATGCATTCATTAAACCTAGCCAAGGCGCTAAAGATAAGGTCAAACGAGCTTGTTCAAAGTGCCATGAATCAGCAGCAATTAACTTCATTTTATTGCGTATTAAATTAACTAAATATTATTTTCTGTATAATACTTACTCAGCTGGCCTTCCTGTGAAAATCGAACTGAATTATAATCTTGTATCTGGTGCAATCATTTATTACTTTTTTCCCGATGCTTTGAAATTTAAGTGTATGCTGCCATCTAGTGTCATACTTTGTAATAACAAACTCGCTGGAAGAAAATTTGCAACTACATAAACTGTACTTGTTATGGCTGGTACTAAATGCAGTTGTGTGTGTGTATGCAAATGAACTTTCTTTACCCGTATTTACATCTGCTGTGAAAGTGATGTGTAGGTTTTAACTTAGCTTGTACAGATAGATATTTTAAATGTGATATTAAATCTTTATTTTTGTTTTTATTTTGTAAATAACAGTCATTAGAGGAAAATTGGAATCAAGAAGTCCTAGTTTGAGGTGAATTTCTTTTTTAAAGAAATGTATGCAAAAATGAGCTATAATTATAAATAGTAAGTTTTACTATTTTACACTAACAGTACAGATATATAAGATAAGATTTAAGATATATAACAATCTATAATTATAATATAATCTGTAAATTGTTTTGTATTTATTTAGCAATGTTATATAACAATAATAAATATTTATAAAAAAAAATAGTGATACACTTGTATTCTTAGTAGTACACATATCCACAAATGTAGTCTATTTTGTATTACAAAATCATAGAAAACCCTGCATCTTTTGGCATTTTGGTAAGGGTTTCGTAAGTGAATTTGAAAATCATAATTTGCTGCAGCTATAAATAGGCTAAATAAAAAAAATAAGCAAAAAACGTATATGCCAAGCCGACCACAAGTCTCTTGATCATACTGTTGAACTATGAAAAATAGGCCTAATTGGGTCTAGAGTCAGGTCTCATTGGTGCAATAAAGGATCTACCTTGATTTAAGCGGACAATAGTGGGTGTGACACTGGATTATATGATGAATCAAAGTTCAGTTCATATGCTATCATAGCTCATTTATTATTTTATTTATTTACATTTATAAGTCAGTTTGAATAGATCGTGTACCGTTGAATTGTCTCTGCTGGACTGCAAGTCGAGGTGTCTAGGTAGGCAGCTCATTCATTGAGGCCCCCCCCCCTCAGGAATACGACAAAGGCTGCCAGTCTGCATTGAAGCGAGGGATGTTCTAACCTAAAGAGCGAAAGGGGCAGACAGACACCGGCTGCAGCCCATCCGCCCCATCCAGCACAGCAGAGCACATGATTCTCTCCTCCTGCTCTTAAAACCATCACTAGCATCCTCTGGTAGAGATGACAAGCCATTAGATGTGTGCTTTCATATCGACTGTGCTCATCGGATACACTCGCACAAGTAAGATGAATATGCTTTTTTTAAGCAAGATGCACAGCACATTTATATTTATTAGTGCATTCATATCGCTTTTTAATTGATGAAACATGTAATCACGACTTCTTCATTGTGCTTTCCCTTTGGGCGTGTTTAAATAACTTGAATATTATATATTAATTATTAAAATATATTATGTTATATAATTATAAAACAATAACACATTAATGTTTATTAGCCTATTTAAAACATATATTGAACATTTTCTATAATGTCTTTTTAATTCTGTTATTTTTGTCAGTTGGATAAGCGCACGGAAATGTACATTTCCAGCTGCTTATTTTATTATACATAGCATAGCATAATGTGCAATAGGCCTACTTATTAACAAGTAGGCTATATGCACAAATACATTTTTTATACAGGAAAAAAAAAGTCGGGTGATATTCAGAATAAATGCAATTATAATTTTAACATTACTCATCTATCCACAATTTTCCACAGAGATACTACAGCCCCGGGTGTTGACATGGAGCTGGAGCATTTCGACGAACGGGACAAAGCACAAAGATACAGCCGTGCGGGTTCACGTGCGAACGGCCTCCCGAGCCCCACGCACAGCGCCCACTGCAGCCTGTACCGAACACGGACCCTACAGGCTCTGAGCTCGGAAAAGAAAGCCAAGAGGGTCCGGTTCTACCGCAATGGAGACCGATACTTCAAAGGGATTGTGTACGCTATTTCCAATGACAGATTCAGGTCTTTCGATGCTCTGCTCGCAGACCTCACCCGCTCCCTATCAGATAATATAAATCTGCCTCAGGGCGTCCGGACCATTTATACCATTGACGGGTCGAAGATTACAAGCATGGATCAGCTGGTGGAAGGTGAGCCTGGGTGTCTGTATATGGAGGTTTAGGGACATCAGTATCTTTTGTTTCTTCTTGTTCAACTTGACATACATGGTCAACTGTGCATTAGATGTGTCGGTTTGGATTTGTACCTGTTCTCCACATGAAGACAACAGGCTGGAAAATTCTGGTTTTGGAGCTAGTCTGAAGTGGTTATTAGCTGTCCCAAGAAAGACCACTTTTAACACTGACAACCTGCTTGTAGCTGGTTTATTGCTGGTACTAGACAGTCTAAAAGCTTAAACAAGCTATTGACCACCAGTTATATCTTAAAATGAGACTTTCCAGTCATGCATTATTTTTCTGATGATATCTAAAGCCATAAAGAATCTGAAAACCTTTAAGACCGGATTTGCTCTTTAAATAATACATACCAGTGTTTAATTGGTCATTTTAATCCATTTATTCCTTATGCTCTGATATGAATGGCAGTTATGACTCCATCGATTAATGTCATGTGAAGTGAAAAGCTGTGTGGTTGTAAGAAACAAATTTATAATTAAGACATTTCAACTTTAAATCATCGCTTCTGGCCAAAATACAAGTCCATAATCCACAATATTGCTTTCTTCAGTGAAAGTACCTTCCCTTTTGCACTCTCACATCAAAATCCAACATGTTTGTTTATAACTGTAGAAAGCCTGATCTGTGCACATTTCTCTCCTGATTTAGATGAGGCAACTTTTTAACCGAAGAAAGCAATATTGTGGTTAGAGGACTCATATTTTAGCTGTAAACAAGGGTTTGACTTTTTTTTTATTACAAACACACAGTTTGTCTTTTTACAAGATGTTAACTGATGGACTGTAGTTATGCTTATGACGTAATATAAGTCATATATGGATTATTGTGATGCTTTTACCAGCTGTTTGAACTCTCATTCTGACGGCACCCATTCACTACCATTGGTGAGCAAGTGATGTAATGCTGAATTTCTCCAATTGATGTTTTATTAAGAAGGTTCGGGATGAGCACGTTCAGATAATCAATCAATTCAGCACAGGTGGAACTTGTCTAGAAAATCAACTTAACTAGCATGATGTATATTAATATATATACAGCCATCTCACCTCTGTCCCACGACAGTTTTCAAGAGTCCCTCCTCCACCCCAACTCCTCACTCTTAACTATTCTCATCCCAGACTAGGGATGGGGGGTTCTCTGGGTTCAGGCTATATTCCGGGCTCGGAGCCCTCCCTCAGGACAGCAAGCCAAACATGCATACTATTTGCTCAATCCGATTATATGTAAGTGCGAACTCGTGAAATCAGTTTTCTTGAAGATCTTAGATGACCTTAGTGTGAGCAAATTTTTAGAAAATAAGCACATAATATCTCTGTAGTGTGTACACCAATCAGAGAATCTACTATGTGGAAAGTCATCGCATTAGTCATGTTTCATATCTGGGGTCTCTGACACCTCAAACAGAGCATGCGGTTTGTAGTACTGAACAAGGATCAAGCTTGTATTGTCCGAGCGGATATCAGAGAGCCCTGTGATTTAAACCAATAGTCATTTTAAAATGCTCATTAATATTTAACAGCTTCTGCATCTGCTATACCACTCCCTTCCTCTCAGTGTTGACCAATAAATCAAACCGGAGAACTGAAAGTTTGTCCTTGAATTATGTGTTAAATGACTCTGATTTGATTTTGAAATAGTAGCAGTGGCATCTCAGTGGTGCCTTTTTATGTAGGACACCCATTCATTCATTCATTCTCAATGCTGCCAGGGGTAGAATGAGTGCAAATGAGCGAGGTGGAGGTTATTTCAGTCTCTGCCGTGCACTTAACCTTGACTGTGTGACCTCTCCATCATTATGGACTATTATAAGGAGATTTTATGTCCATTGACTGTATTAAACTCAGATGTGGGCAAATTAATGGATTTTCTTCTGTGTCCTCATATGATGCTAAACATGGAAAGCCATTTTTAGATAATCTGAAGTTGCAGGATACTCTCATCAAGGCATATAGTTTACCCAAAAATTCTGTAATCTTATACCCCTCATTTTGTTCCAAACACATATGACTTTCTTCTGGGGAACCAAAAAATTAACTGATAGTTTTTTTTTTTTTTTTTTTTTTTAACAAAATTAAAGTAAAGACGTGGAGCTTTCAATGTTTCGTGAGGATGCAAAAGCATCTTACAAATAGAATGAATGTGTTTGCTGAAGCAATACAATAGCTTTCTGTGAAGAACAGACCAAAATTTAAGTCAGTACTATTAATAAAGTGTATTCTGTATTGGCATCTATGGTTCCATGAAGAACCATTCCATTCCATTCTACAGAACTCTTTTTTTTTTTTTTTTTTTGTCAAATCTTTTCAGTGAAACTTTTGAACCGGTTCACAAAAACAAGTCTGAATGATTGGTTCTCAGTGATACTCACTGGTTATTTCACTTATTATTTAATTTTGTATCACAGGGGAGAGTTACATTTGTGGATCAATTGAGCCTTACAAGAATCTGGAATACACTAAGAATGTCAACACCAACTGGTCAGTCAACGTCAAGACCACTGCATCGGCACGAGCGCCCACCTCTCTGGCCAGCGCCACGGCTGGTTCAATAGAAACCAAGGATAACAAGGATTTCATCCGACCCAAACTGGTGACCATAATCCGCAGCGGGGTAAAGCCTCGGAAAGCCGTGCGTATACTTCTCAACAAGAAGACGGCCCATTCGTTTGAGCAGGTTCTCACGGATATCACAGATGCCATCAAACTGGACTCTGGAGTGGTCAAGAGGCTTTATACGGTGGATGGTAAACTGGTAGGTACAGTGGGCATTTCATTTAAGTAGATAATTGAACTTTTGTATTGTTGGATGCAGTATATGATACTATTATTTGGTTGAAAGAACTATTTGGATAGATCATTGGACTCACTGTATTTGTCAGAAGCCCGTGGATAAGGAGATGCTTGTGGTGCAGAAATTACACATTTCAGCTTTAATAAAGCAAAGCTAGTCTCCTGACTTTTACCTTAGTTAGTCAAACAAGATGTTTTTTTGAGCGCCCTGCCCTGGTTTCTCTAAAGGTGAGGTTGCTCATACATCATCATCTCAAAGAGGTCAGTCCGTTCCTCACTCTCTCCTTCTTCAGTGACCTGCTTTTTTTGCTCAGTTATTTGGTGAAACCATATTTAGAGTTGCTAGAGCTGTACTTGTTTGTGTTAGAAGAAGTTGGTGGTAATGAGCCAAAAATGAGTACTGTAAATTAAATGCTGGGACTACTTTCAGACTTTACTTTTAAACAAACATAAAATAAATGAGGTGCTCTCTGCTTTAGAATGTAACAACAAAACATTTATTTAATGCTGTGATCCAATTCCATTTATAAAAGAGAATTTTGATCTGGTTTGAGTAGATACAGTACATTGGTATGCATGTAAGAAGAATGCTTGTGGTTGTTATTCTGGTTTAGTGTTATTTAGTATTATTTATATACTATTATAGTATTAAAATTTTGAATGAGCTATACATGTATATATTTATATAGTATTTTCTTATTTTGTAATATTTCTATTTAGCTTTAATTTATCTTTATTTCAGTTTTCTTAAAATTCAACTTTTAACTTTCTTTTTTTCATCTAATATTTATATATATTTCAGCTTTATTTTAGTTAAAATGAACAACAATGCTCTGCTAATTTTTTAACCGACAAGACTTTTTTGACTATGGGACAGTTTGTTTGGAGCAACCTGTGACTTTTACATTTGTGGCAACCTGTGACAATGACATGTTTTACTTCTGGGCACAATAGTCAAATCTCATGAATCTCTCCTTCTGCGCTCTGAACCTTGCAAGCTTATGTTTTAATGCCTTACGCCACCCTATTGTCGTGATTTCAGTATTTGCTCTTTGCTCATCAAGTGTTGCTGTTATTTTGCTGAGATATTAATTTCCCTAGATAATTTGTGTTTATGTTGCTTGAATAAGAGCAAAAGAGATTGATAGGGAGATAAAGGTAAATACTGTGGAGAAGGAGATGGAGGAAAGAGATCAGACAGAGGGAGTCAGCCGTATGGCTGGGGACTGGGTGATGGTGACCTTTCTGTGTCTCCGCAGGAGCAGACTGATGAAATGACAAGCTGTCACTGGAGGGCCTTAAACTCATTGGCTTTCAGTGGTGTTATATTTTCCTCTGTTTACACTAGGGATGTAACGATTCACTTAACTTACGATTCGATTCGATTCACGATTTTGGTTTCACGATTCGATTCACGATTTATTTTTTACAAAATGAGATTTAAGACAAATTCTAAATTAAATGTGTCCTTTTATTATTGCTTGGACAAAATACTGTACGCACCCACCGCAGATCAGAAAGAGAGACACTAGCGCTGTGCTGTGTATATATCTGGTGAATTGACTTTCATCATCTTATGCATACAGGCCATTAAAAAATATATAATTTACAAAAACAAACAGAAGTCACAATTTAAGGGTTGAACGTCACGCAAACAGATATTTCTAGGTTGGAATATCCCCTAATTTCTCACATCCCAAGTATGTGAAGGGCCTCTCCCCTCTCCTTGATTTCCCTCTTTGGTTTCCATGGCAATCTGGTTGCTGGGGATGGTTGCTTAGGAACAGCCTCTGCGGCAGGAGGGGGTGCAGTAGTGGTGATGTTACAGGCCGGGGTTGGGATAATGGATGCTCAGGATAGCGATCAAACAGGCCTCACACACGAGGCGGCATTATGCATGGCTGTTTATTTTCTCCTAGAGAAACATTTACTACACCCCTCAAAGCATTGCTGTAACGGGTGATGATGTGCCAAGGAAATTGATTTCTGGATCGATGCATTGTGATCCTACATTTTCCAAAAAATGCTTTAGTAGGTTTGATATACAGTATATATGAATACAGTGACTGCTCAGCATTTTTACAGAGTCAAAATTTATGTTGATAAAAAGCTTATTAGTAGGGCTGTCAATTGATAAAAAAAAATTAATTGAATTAATTACATTACAGTATATGTTGATTAATTAAGCAAACTAATCCCAATTAATCCCATAATTCAATATTTGCTGAGAAAAGCTTTCAAATAAAGATGACTCAAATATATTATTGTGGCAGATGTATAAACCGTTGAATAGACAAAAATGGTTTTAGAAGTCAACATGTTGGTTTTATTTCTGCATCATTCAGTAAATTCCATTTTAATGTTTATGGAAGTGCAATGCATTTGAAAAGTGCCTTTAGATATTTCTTGGAGCGGAAATTCAGAAGATTTGACCATCTAGGAACAGTTAGCCTATTGTGAAATCTCTTAGCAAGATGGACATTTTGCCTTCAATTTTGCTCTTATAAATGATACATGGAAGATCTTGGCCTTAGCCATTGTTTCCTGGCCTTATCTAACCTTCTTCTGAGAGGAAGTTCTCTCAGAGCGACTGATGCAAGCTTTGAAATGTATTAGGGTGTTATTGGTTTGTTGATCTGTTGACAAGCATTTTTCAGGAACTCTTGCTGATGAGTAACACCACTCCATGCATTTGGGTTAAGTGCTCCAGATGGAGGATCCTGACAAACGTTTAATGCTTCAGACTGACAGAATCTATGTTGCTATAAAAACTAAGAATACTAAACTATTCATTACATGGCTTTCTGGAATACTTAATTCTGATTGGTCAGTCACACCATTCATCAGTCTGATATTTAGTAATATATTTATATTATATTATTATATGTAACGAATCAGCTCATGGGAAATATGAATAATTAATCATAACTAGTTATAATTAATTATGAATATTTTAGATCCGCTGTAGACTAAATTCTATTTTAATAATAACATTTAATTTTAGTAACCAAAAAACATGTCTAATTAATTGAAATCATGAACCTGTATAAAATGTAACAACAATTTATTGATATTTGGTCCCTGTGAAATCTGTTTAATTTTTCCAAAACTCTATTTTCAAAATTTTCTGGATTCCATTTTAATGGTGAAAGTAAATTTAAAAGCATGTATTTCCAATTGAATTCATAAAACTTTAACGATTTTAGGGCTGCACGATAAATCGCATGCGATATTTAATGTGCATCTTGTCAGTAAAGCCGCTTCTGTAATCAGCGGTAAATCTCCGTCACGTGCGGGCTTTCACATGAAGCAGCATTTACTACACAGAGCCGTTGTTCACTGACAAGCTGTGCAAAACCACGTTCATATATGTGTAGCTTTGTGTAGCTTTACTGACAAGATGCACATTAAATATCGCATGCGATTTATCGTGCAGCCCTAAACGATTTATTAATTTATTAATTGATAAAAAAAAACTATGATATCTTTTCAGAAGTTGTGTGTTTTTTGTTTTATTTTTTCTGGATTTGTAATTTAATACAAATTTATTAAAGTGCTGCACAACTGTTGAAATTTGCCAAATTACATGACATTCTGATACTGTAAATTACATTTTTATGACTAGATTCCACGTTTTCCATTTTTATGACCATACTCCGATTCTGCATCTTTGAAATCATAGGACCATACATTAGCGAATGTGTTTGACTTAAAGCCTTTGATGCTTGGTTTTGGGTTATCTGTTTGCACGTCTAGGTGTTTTTGAATCAGATGTTTCATTTGCTTCTTCTGAAATTACCTCATAATGCATTTTCCAAGATCCAAAATCTCCAAAATCCAAGAACTGGCATCTGTATCTATAATCTAATATGAAAATAGTTACGCCATCTACTAGCAATAGTTAACCGCTGAACCTAACCAGCCTAACACTGAACCGCTGGTTTTAATGCTGTCAGAACGCAGACCTGATCAGGTCTGTAAGCCTTGTGAATGTTCAGTCCATCCTGACAGTATTCTGGCTCCAGTGTAAACCCATGCAGTGACACGTGGGAGTGGGAGTAACACTGCAACAAGCTGACTTGCATTTAGTCATTACTCATTATCTGCCACTGCTGGACTTATGTAATGCACCTCAATAGGCAGTTCAATTTCCTCCTGAAAGGTCACCTCTTGCCATTACTGCGAAACATGGAGAGTCCTTTCAGTCCAAACAATGCTGCCATTTCAAAAATCAAGCGCAGAGAAATTGCTGACATAAAATGCATGGGTTGTCATCAAGAATTGGTTTTATTTTTACTGTGCTGTATTTTGTTCTTATTCACAGGGTTTCCACACCTTTTGACCATTGCATTTCCATGACTTTTCATTAGAGATGCACCGATTGCAATTTGATTGGCTGATTCCGATTTCCGATTTTTTTTGTAAGGGTGCACTCACACAATGCCGGCTCCTGCGTAAGCAGCACCACACGCATGCATCGTGGTACTCTCGTGAACGTGCATCGAAGACTGACAGGGAAGAGAAGAAATAGTTGAATAAAGTTTTTGTTTTCTTTGCACACAAAAAGTATTCTCGTAGCTTAATAAAATTACGGTTAAACCACTGATGTCACATGGGCTATTTTAATGATGTCCTTACTCCTTACTACCTTTCTGGGCCTTGAACGTGTCAGTTTCATTGTCTATGCAGTATGCAGGGTAAAGAAAGCTCTCGGATTTCATCAAAAATATATTTTTTGTGTTCCGAAGATGAACTATCCCTTTAAAGAAAAAGAAGACCTCTGTAGTCTATAAGTCAGGGTTATTATTGTTAACTAAGGCCATGTCCACACGTACACGGGTATTTTTATAAACAGAGTTTTTCCTTCTTCCGTTTAAAAAAAAATCTCCGTCCACATGAAAACACAAACGCATGCTATGAAGCACTGTCAAGAGCATGCCAAGCCAACAGGTGGCGATATAA